TACCCTGGTCAGCGGGTGCTCGTGACGACGCACGGCGGTGGCTCTTCCACGCGCAGCGCTACCTCCTCCAGCTCCGCATCGACCGCAGCCAGGACGCGATTCCCAACGCCTGCATCTGCATCGTGCGCTTCGAGCCGTCGACGCGGGCGTACAATATGAAAATCGTCCGGATCGCTTGCTAAGGATGCACGTTTGTAGATGGAGCATACAAGCGTGGGGCGTCACGGATCACTTGAAGCAAGCAAGCTGCAACGTCTACATGTAGTTCAGATATGCCAATGCACCGATTGATTGGGGCACGCCCAAGCTTTCGCCCGTAGTACGAGTGTACCTACCATCCCATTGGCCTAGTCGAATGCTATGTCATTCCATCCTCCTTCCGTGACACGCCCCAGAGTCTCGTGTCACAGCGAGCGACACTTGGGCTGCCACGTCAACTCATTTGCGTGCGATTAGCCTTAGTCATTTAGTTAGTCGAAACAGAACCACCACGCGTCGCGGGCGCGTGTCCACACGGCATGTAGAAGCGAGAACTGCCCTCGACTAGAGCACTAGAATCGTATGTAGGAAGAGGGATGGCTCCTGGCCCAATGCGGCGTGCATCGGGATCGATTGCGACACTGTTTCAAAACAGTGTATGTAAAACAGTGTTTTGTGTCAATGCGAAGAGGCTACCCACAGTTTCGTTTTTAAATTATACCAAGCGCTACCAGAGCGTCGACCACCACGCCGCCAAGTCGTGCAGCAGCGACCACGCGTCGAGCGCAGTGCCCGGTGCGACGCACGGCGCGTGGTGCGGAAAGGCAAACGCCCGGCACTTGGCAAAGGCGTCGCGCGCCGCCCGCCAATCCGCGGCCGCCAGGTGGAGCCAGCCCGCGTGGTAGAGCGCTTCGGCGTCGCCGGACGCGGCGTGGTAGTACTGCAGCGCTTGGGACGCATTCGGGGCGCAGAGGTCGGCCCAGCCCGCCTCGTGGCACTGCCCGAGCTGTCGCAGCGCCTCGCTGTCGTTGTGCTGCTCCGCTGCGTGCTCGTACCAGCGCAGCGCGGTCTCGAGCGGACGCGGGACCCACGGATCGCCGAGGCGCTTCTCGAGCTGGAAGGCAGCGTTGACCATCGCGTCGACGTGGCTGAGCTGCGCAAGGAGGAGGTGCTCGACCAGCGCGCGCGTCGCATCGCCCGCGACGAACGAGTCGATCGCGTGGCGTACCGAGAAGCCCGGCAAGTCCCGGCGCAGTGCCACCTACAGACGGTACTCTCAACCCGTGTGCCATGGATGCATCGGCATCTAATACCGCGCGAAAGTGTCGCAGCGCGCTCTCGCACGACTGCTGGACGCCACTGCCTTGGTAGTACAAGACGCCGACGTTGAAGAGCGATTGGCGCGACGGCGCCTTGACGCTCGCGGCCATAAAGTGCTCAAACGCCCGGGTTACGTTCCGGGGCACGCCAACGCCATCGAGGTACGCGGCGCCGAGGTACTGGTGCGCTTCAAAGTACTCGAGGTCGATCGCGGCCTCGAAATGCGTGACGGCGCGGGTCACGTTCCGGGGCACGAGCGCATCGCCGTTCCAGTAGACGACGCCGAGCCCGTGCTGGGCAAACCCGAGCTCGGCTGCCTGCGTAAACAAGTCGACGGCCGCCGAGCTGTTTTGCTTCACGCCGAGGCCGTGCGCGTGCATGAGCCCCAAATTCGCCAGCGCGTGCGGGATCCCGCCGGCCGCCGCGCGCTCAAAGAACGGACGAGCCGCCGCCGCGTCCGCGGGGACGTTGGCGTCGCCGAAAAAGTGCATTTCGCCAAGGCGGTGCGCGGCCTCGGCCGAGAGGTACGCGTCGCCACTACGCAACGCCGTTTAGTTAGTCATTCGCGAGACGTCAAAGGTACCCGTGGGCGAGCGACTGGTAGTAGTCGAGGGCCTCGAGGCCGTTCTCGGGCACCTCGCCAAAGTACGCGTTGGTCTGGCTGCCTTGCATCCACAACTGCGAGAGGCGCAGGCTGCCTTCCATGGGCTCTATGTACCGAGTCTGCACGAGCATGCAGAAGAAGAGGGACGCGTACCGGGCTCGACGCCGTCGGCCAAATCGCGCACGCTCTCTTCTGCGCTCGTGTAGTAGAGCGCGACGACGTGGTCGCAGAGCGCCTCGTCGTCGCGCTTCGCCGCCCACTGCTGCGTCCAGAGACGCTCGGCGAGTACCATGCGCGCGACATAGTCCTCCGGCGCATGCAGGCGGATCGCAGCTTCGGCGGCGTCGACCGCCGATGGGTCCGTATCGTTGAACGCCAGAGCCAAGAGCGCGTGCAGCACCTGCGTCGAGGCGAGGGTCGGCGCCTGCGCCAGAAAGCCATGGACGCGCTTGAGTGACGTCAGTGGGTGCGCCTTGGCGTTGGGCTCCAGCAAGAGATATTGCGCAATTTGCGCGTACGCAACGGCCGGCTCGACCTCGGTCGTGGCGACCGCGACCCACGATTCGAACGTCGTCGCGTCGTAGCCGTGCGCGAGGAGGTCGTCGTGGATATCGACGAAAGCGTCCGAGAGAGGCGCTGACGGATGCGCCTTGATGTACCGGCGCTCGCTCGCAATGAGCTCCATGAGGTCTTGCAGCGACGCGTGCAGCTCGATCGTCTCGTCAGCGTCGGCGGGCGCGGCCTCCATGAGGGCGCGAAAGTGCTCGTGAAGCGCCGTCTCCATCTGGAGCAGCGTCTCGAGCGAGATATCGTCGGGCGCGTCAAAGATCTGCGTCGTGCGGTCGACAAAGGCGCGGACAGCGTCGATGCGACCGTCGTCCGCAGACGCCACGGCGCGGCCGGACCACGGATTGCGCGCGTCGTCGTAGACCCACGTGCGAGCTTCGCCTGCCGACGCGGCTTCGGCCACGACGCGTTGCCACGCAAGTAGGAGGAGCACGGTCCCGACTCGAATCATCGCGCTTCGTCGCCACGTGGAAGCAATCGGTATTTTCCAGCACTTGGCCGATTTTCGAACTTCGAAGAATATTTGCGAGTCTAAGAACACACAACTTATGCCACCAACACGACGTTGTCGTATGCACAAGCCACAAATGGTACATAAGATGGACAACGACGTGCGTCGAGCACTCTTTTTGTACCAACGCGCGCGAGAAGTGGTCCCAGTAGAGGCAATCCTAGCACAAAATCGTATAGGGCTGAAGGTGCAGCTGGGTGGAAATAGCCTGTCGGATTTGATCATATTGGCGACATGAACATGGACGCGCATGCCATTGGCTAAAATGCATTTGCCAGCGCGCTTGGCTTGACAACGGCTAGGTGCTATAATAATCAATTGGTCAGAAAATTTAAAAACAAATTGACCAATCACGACGCAGATCGCACCAGAGGAAGATCGCCAACAAGATGCAAAGCTTGCACTTTGGAAGCAGGACATTGCTAATACTTTAGCATCAAAGCACACCCCTGCTGCGATGATGAGAGCTTCGTCGATACGCTCAAGCAGCCAAACATGCGGGCGCCTTTGGACCAAGTCGCGCATACTAGTACGTAGTATGCAGAAACGTACAATGCATGCACATAGATGTTTGTATGGAAAGTCTGGTGCTCCGTGGTTATACATGTATATGAACGTGTTTCGCGTTATCTTCGTGTTTACAAAGAGTTCGCATAAGTAGAGACTAGCAATCTCCTTCTTCTTCATTCGCTCGCCGGGCCGTGGTTGCGGAGGCTGCGGCGCCGGGGCGCGTCTTGCTCTTCTGTAGCCGCCCGGGGGCGCTTGCGGCCGCGCGTGAGGCCCATGACGACAAGCTCCATAAATTCCTTCCACGCTTCGCGATCGGCGGCAGAGCTACGCAGTTTGTTGAGGTCCTCGACAGACGCCGGCGACTAAGGCGGCATCATGATTGGAGATCGCGGTGCAGGACGATCGGCAACGTGATCTTGGTGCGGCCTAACAAACGGGGCGCTTCGGGAGCGGCAAAGGAGCGGACGGTGGCAATGTTGGCAAGGACGTTTTCACTCATGCGCAGCACGTAGCCCAGCAGACGCCAGCGTTGGCCGACGACAATCTCGATCTGCGGGGCGCTGTTGCAGCGCTTATAGAGCGCGGTATCGAAAATGCCATTTAATTCAAATCAATTCATTGAAAAATCACCCAGTGCCCAAGGATGCCGCAAATCAGCACGTTGAACCTCTCTCCATCACTAGCGACTTGTAGTGGGCAGTCGGAAATAATCCCAGCATTTTCCAATATTTGTTTCAGTTTGACCATGCACCGCTACGGCAGGCGTCAGCCTCGTCGATCCGAAATCGAAACTTTTGCAACCTTCTCCAATCGCTGTGGTATTTTCAGGGGTGCTTTCTCTAGCTCGAGAGAGGCTGTATGCCGACGCACGTGGCTATCAAAGGCCTGCAAGTATTTGTTTTGAAACTCGCCAACAATTGCTCTTGCAACAAGGCGTCCTGTCGACTGTGGACGGTGAAACTCGTGTGGCCTAGGTCTTTTTTTCGTCACTCATCGCTTCAATTCAAGACTTTGGTTCACAAGCTAAGCGCTTGCAACGACCGCTGCAGTCTCTTGCAGCATGCGAATGCTTGGGTCTACGACGTTGAGGACCGATGCCACTCCAGCTCGTGGAATCCATATCCGGACAAACTCCGGATATCAGTTCACGCACGACCTCGTCTTAAATAGTGTGAGCACCAATCAGCACAACGACGAGTAGCATCCCACAGACGCGCCAGCGCCACGTAGCGGCCGTGT